ATATTTCTATTTATATTAATATTTATATTAATATATATAACAGCCAAGATGCACATGCATACAGCCTTCTACACATATTAATTCAGTATCCAAATCCTAATTTGTACATCAGTCAAAACTTATCATTTTACACAGACTGTTGAAAGTATGCCTATAAAACTCCTGTATTTTCATGTAAAATGTAACAAACTCATCCATGTACACAAGCCCTGTGCTTAGGCCATCATTATGAAGAATTAAATGTTTAAATTTATGTGTAATTTAAAATAAATGTGTAAGTTATGAGGAATTAAAGTCTTGATCCTATATATTAAATAGTCACAGATTTCATCATGATGAATAACAAATAACTCAGGCCAGGAAACCAATTTGGTTCCAACACTTTGGAGCAATTTCTTTTCTTTTTTAATGGTTACTGCTGAAGGAGAAAATTTAGTCTTCCTTTTGCTTCCAGAAATACCCATGGACTCCACGTCTCCCATGGGTAGTAAATAGGTATTGATTTTGCTCATAACAGAAGTACATTATTACAGTGATTAAACTGTAGACCTTCCTTTATGATATGAAAAAATTGGAAATTGGTGAGCTAAAGAGGATTTATGTTACAAAAGAGTTTGGGTTTTTCTATTCATCAAACTGTAATTCAAGTTCTAAATGCAAAGCCTCTGTGTATATCGCCCTTTTTAAGCAGCAGCAACTGGCATTTAAAATAAATGCTGATATTATAATTATCAAAGCATTATGTCTGTTAGAGCTGCTAATAGTCACTTTGCTTCATTTTTTTTTTTTAATTTTACATTTGTCAAAATCCTGACAGGCATACTCTGGGATAATGTTAGATTCAATGTTGATATTGTTACTCAACAAGAACATTGATTATGTCTTAATAGGACATATTCAGTGTGTATTATATGCAATTATCATCTTAAATGAACACAAGCATTTATTTAGCTCCAACTGAAATTATTTCAATCCAAAGATTTTTTCTTTCTGGTTAGCATTATATTATAAAGTCATTAGTACCAAACACGATATTGCAGCACACTCCTGATACAGAATTATGCATGAATACACAGTTTATAAACAGAGTTATAAACAGAAGAGTCGAGGCACTGTTGCATCATTACAGAAATACAAATATCCATGGAATAGTAAGAAAACTCTCTTGTAATAATTAGTATTAAAAGGATACTTAAAACACTTTTAAGCATTTTGAATGTTCTGTGTATTGTTTGCTTCACAAACAGAATTTGTTTTGACTTCAGCAACTTTCTGGGAATTTGGGGATTTCTATTCTCCCTAATTTATTTATTTTTTTTTTGGATGAGGACTGAAGCACTAAAGGAGGGCTTGTTGCTGGGTACTGAGCGTGCCCTGTCCAAAATATGCAATCCAAGGATGCCTTGCAGGAGGGCACAGGAGGAATATTGAATTGGGTCTTCCTGGAGAAAGTCCTTGCGGTCCTGCTGCTGGGTGCTGCTGCAGGGAATCACAGCCTCAGGGGCCCTAAATCTTCCCTGCAACCACGCAAGTGGTTCCACTGGTTCCCTCCTTACATTTTGAGTCCCACAGCACTGGTGGTGCTGCCAATTCCAGCTGAATTTGGATGCCCTACAGCCCAGCCCAAGGCTTGGACTGTTCCTGCTGCTGCTGTGAAATACCCACAGCCAGGGCTTGCTTCTCTTCACTCCCTTTTTATTGTATCTGTAATATTGAAAGATTAAACCCCAGCAGAACTCCATCATCATCTGCTTTCATTCAGCATTACCCAGAAGCTCTCCCTTCTGTGAGAGTGCCTGCCCTGCACTGTTCATTTCCCTGTGCTGTGGTCAGCTCCTGCTGCCTTTGTCAGGGAGCTGAACTCTGAGGAAGTGCCTTTGCTGGCCTCTCCCTGCTCTGTGGGGCTGAGCCAGCTGTGCCAGGCAGCAGGGCAGTGGGATCTGATGGGAATCTTAGCTCTGGTGGGGATGGCAGGCAGGGCACCTTTGAAGGACAGCTCACCTTGGCAAACCGCATGAGCTGGCAGTGCCACCCCTGCCGTGGCTGAGTGACTCCAGGGAAAATTTATGGAGATAGGGAATGGTTCTCCTGCTGTAATTATGCAAACCCTCTCCACAGTGTCACACTCCACAAAGTCACAGTTGATAAATAACAAACCACACCAGCAGCGACCTGATGTTCATTTATTCCAGTAATCTGTTTTCCTTTGGAGATCCCACTTGTTGGGAGCTGGGGCTTATTTCTGTTCCTGATATCAAGTGCTGTTGACTGGATTGCTTTTGCAAGGCTGTGCTTAGGCCACTTAGGAGCAGGCCTGGCTTTAGTGGCAGGCAGGGATTCGGTGGGACGTGCCTGAGTCTCTGTGGGGTCCCAAAATGATAAAATTTTGGGAGCTGCATCCCTGCAGCTGGGCAGGAATGGAGACGGGGAAGGAAGGATGTTGTCCCCCACTGCCTCCTGCCAGCAGCACTTTTTCCTCACAAGATAGGAGGAAAAGGAGGGAGAACACACTGGGGTCAAAGGTGTGAGCCCTAAGAAAGAGGGAAGTGCTGAGGAGGTGCCATGAGACCTTCCAGAGCAGCCCTGAGCCCCCAGCACACCCCTGCAGCAGCACCCCTGCAGAACAGGGCTGCTGGGAGCACAGGGATCCCTGCTCTGTCTGCAGAAATCCAGGTTTTTGGTAAATCCCACTGCTCCAAACAATCCCTGCTGCTGCCTGGCTCCTCTGGGCTGGAGGCAGGAGAATTCTGCAAGGTTCTTTACAAGCAAGTGCAAAGAGAGCCTCTGATGGGAACAAGCCTCTGCTCAGGGTTTGCATCTGTTAGCAGCTGCTTCCTCTAACAAGGCAAATATTTGGTGTCAGAACGAGTTGTAGGAAGTGCTGCATAGCAGGGAAGTGTGAAGTATTCATAATTGCATGAAATACTACTCAAAATTCAATGTTTTTCACATTTTGCATGAGCTTAAACATTGGACTCCTGTCACAGACATTTCTGCTGCAGTAGATGCAATTTCTGGCACAAATGGGCTTGCTTTCAATAGAAAATGGGATGGTTTTCAAAGGAAAAAAAGGCCAATTTGTGAGTAAAAATGGGCTTTCTGAGCAAAGAGGCTTATAAACATGAAGTGACAAATGGCTGTGCAAGTTTTCCATACGATAATAACTACTTTCTAATCAAAATAATGAAAAAGTCACAGCTGGGGGAGGGGAGAGAAGCCTCATTCAGGTTTTAATGCACTTTAGAAAACAAATATATGAAAACTATAAATTTAGTTTCCCTCCATGGCGTGAGTTTGTGTTGTAGATATGTCAGTAATACTTCTTTGTGTTTGTTTTTATGATGTTATAAATCAAACTCCTGGTCTTGGTTTGCCACCTTCTGAGATGAATTTCATGGAATAATGTTGTAAGACTACAGGAAATACATTTCTTAGGATCCCCTGTGTGGCAGTGGCATCTGATTTCCTAGCAGTCCATATGTTTTTAGAACAAAATTTCTCTTCTGACTTGACTTGTTGATTTAACATGCAAATTTATTGTTTCATAATAGCTGATCTGATGAGCAACAGAGGTGGCTGCTTCTCTCTTGGCCTAAAAATGCTTCAAAATCTCCCTACTGAGGAGCTGGGATCTCCTTCTCACTCGTTCTCCAAAAAAAGAGATGGTGGGATGTGCCCAGGAAAACATACAATGCAAAATTCACAATTTGGGAAATGCTTCCAAATCCCTTGTCTGCAGAGCCAAGAGGCTGAGGTTGCTTTGCTGGGTTGTGTCCAATTCCTGACAATTCTCTGGGAAACTGTTGGATAAAGGACATGGGTGAGGGATGGCAAAGCTGGGAACCCTGGGCTCTTACAGACACGGTTCCAAAAGGTTCCAAATCAGCAGCTTTGTTGCAGCTTTGCCCGTGGGATGCAGGTTTATTGTCCAGGAGGGTTTGGATAAACATTCCTGGGCACAGTGAGGTTCTCACTGTGTGGTTTCAGAGCTGGCTCAGCACTTGCCCATCTGTGGCTCCGTGCTGCTGCTGCCCAGGGGGGCTTTGGGCAGGTGCTTCCACTCGAGGCAGCCACAGAAAACTCATTTGAATGAAGTTCTGCTGAAATCCATGTCAGAATTCCCTACCAGTGCCAGGGGAGCAGGTTCTGGTGCTCAGAACATCAGAACATCAGCTTTGACACAGCTCTTGCTGACCCCTCATCCAGCTTTCACCCCTGATGGGAGAGATGGGAATTGCAAAGGCTGCCACATTCCCATTCCAGAACTCATCACAAAAGGGTTTGTTTTTTTTTTCCCCAGAATAAGGCTGTGCTTTATGAGAGGAAATTAAGCTGGATTTCTCTCTGGGCCTGTGCTGTCTGGTTCTACAGAGGTGGGCAGCCAGATAAGTACCATGACATGGCAATCAAATATCAGTAATATAAATCATTAATATCACTCTACACATTGGCTTTGGGCAATAACTGGAAGTCTCTGCCTGTTTTGGAAACTGCTTTTTTGTTTTTTGCAGTGGAGCAAACTTAGATTACCAGTCTAAATGCTAATACCCAGAATGAATGGGATTTAATAAAGTGAATTTATATGTAGATTGTGACATTAGTATTTAATTATGTACCCATCATAACACTGATGAAGCAAGCTGCTAAATATTGGTGCACTGAAGGCAGAGCTTACTCTTAAAGAGCAAGTATATTTTAATTTCTTACCTCTTTCCTAATCTTCCTAAATAACAGGATAAATTATGTACTGTTTACCAATATTCACCTTCATGCTGGATTGCAAATGAGGTTTCCAGGGTAGCATCTGATCTCAGAGAAAGCTGTGCTTGTGTTTCAGTAAAACTGTGATAACAGACCTGTTTCTCTGCTATGTTTTATTAGGCTAAATAAAATTTTGGGCGTTTTAAAATTTATTATTTTAATATTAATTAAAAATAGTATGTTATCTCTGTGGGGTTTTTTTTTCCCTTAACCTTTCATTTTCTTTTTATTTTTTTCAGACCATGGAAAGCCCAAAGTATGAGCTGGTTATAGAAGCCAAGGACATGGGTGGGATGGATGTGGGACTGACAGGCACAGCCACTGCCACCATTCTTATCGATGACAAAAATGACCACGCACCAGAATTCACCAAGAAGGAGGTAAGAACCAGCCATCTGTTCTCTCCAAAAATGGTGCAAGCACTCCTAATTAGCTCATTTCTAAAGATAAAGATGTTCTTTAAGGAAAGAAGACACGTACAGAATGTTTTTAGCTCGGTCTGACAGACTTTCCTGGAGCTGCTCTTTTCTTTTTTTCACGTTAATGAACACGTGTGCACCAGCTCCAAACCACAGTGCAACCATAAAATATAAAAATGATGTCATTTTGAGATTGGCTAGCAGGGTGCAAACCTATAAAATCAATTTGCTGGGGGTAACTTTCTCCTTTTGCTCCTCGGGGGGAAATAGCCAAACTAGCTTTAGGCTTTGGATGGCCAGGACCGAGGGTGAAAACAACATTTTCTTCCTGTCTACAGCACTTCCCCTGTTAGCCAGCCAGAGTTTGGGGTTCTGGAATTAAAGCTCCAGTCCTAAAAGCTTCAAATTTAGCCTCCAGGTGGAATTTGCAAGGAAAGGTTTTTTCCCTGTAAATTGAATTCAGCTGAAAGTTCTGATGAAACCCCAAAACCAAGGCGAGGGAATTCCCCGCCTGAACCCACCAGACCTCCTGCCCTGCTCTTCCATCCCCTACATTTACTGTGAGTCTGACTTATTTTGGTATCTGGAGAGAAGGAGAGAGTTTTTAAAAAATTACCTAATTGCAGCCAGGTTGGATTTTGTTATTAAAGTTTCCTGGGGCTCTGCAAACTTTTAAGGAAAAATTCCCGAAATATGAGAAGTAAACCTGAGGGATCCTGATTTTAAGATCATTGTGGAGTAGAAAAGGGAAGCCTATTACTGTAGAGGTTTTTTTATTCAACCTGAAGTATATTTTTACCTTTTAAAAATTTGTTTCCTGGCCTAATATTAGCAATTTGCCAATGGATTATATTGAAACAAATTGCTGCTATTTGACTTGAAGAATGATTTCTTTTATAAATGCAAAGTAGATGAATACCAGATTCAAACACGACAGAGAAGGGTGTTTTAAAAAAAGAAAAAAGAAGAAAGTAGAAGCAATGACAATTGTGCCAAGGGAATATCTATAACTACATCAGTAAAATGCTTTGGCAGCAGTGTTTCAGTCACCTAAAAATTGTCATGGAGAGCCTGATCCAAACCCTTCAAGTACATGGGTGACAATTAAGTGAATATAATCAAACTATTAATTCCCTTAGAATTACCTTTTAGGTCAGGCTTTTAATGCTCTGAAAGGCATTTCCTGACAACCAATACTTAAAATATCTTTGAAATGTTGTATTTTCTTTTTTAACCCTCTGGAAAATAACAATGTACAAGGACAGCTTGGTGCATTTAGAAATGAGAATTTATTGGATTAATCAATATTGATAGCAATTCATGTCAGTCAGAGTCCTACCTATGTGAATTTCCAAAGTGGGAGAATTCTTCTCTGGAAGAAATATTTCTAGATTGAATTCTTTTGAAGAAGTCTTTCTATAATTATGGTCTTGTTTGACTTAATTTGGCAAATTGGACACAAAAATTCATCTGCCTGCTTAGCCACAAATGTATGGTTAGCATCAATTTCTGTGGAAATTCAGAAATGCTCATAAATTCAGTTCTGTCAGTGACAGTAAAAGTTACTTTATACCCTGGAAAGTTTGTGGGTTTTAGCATGGAAATTAAATAGGTGTGAAGAGACAGCATTATCTTGTTTTCTTTGAAAAGTCTGCTCTTAGATATTTTTCTTGGTTGTTGTTTTTTTGTTTTTCCATAGCAACACCTCTCTTCCTTTTGAATGGTTTGCTGTGGGTTTGAACCTTTCACTATTTAGTGATGCTAATGACCTCAGAAATCTTCCCTCTGCCTTGCTAAGTGATATTCATATTCCATGAAGAAGGCAGGAAAAATCAGCCTTTCATGTGTAATGCCAGCCCCCTTCAGGAGCAGATTCTCTGTTAAAATAAGAGGAGGGAGGTGTCTGTCAGCTGATTTAATGCCACTTTATTTGATTTTCTGCTGCAAGTGCTTAGTTATTGCATTTTAATACCAGTTGCATGCCACAGGCTGCAATACTATTGATTGGAATTAGAGCTGAAAGGAAAAGACAATATTTTTCAAGGTAACTTCTGAAGGAGAAAGCTCAAATTCAGTAAATCTGAAGCTTTGATTCCAGAGTGTAGCTCCTTTTATTTATTTCATTAAATAAATTAATTAAAATATAAATAATAAATTATAGTAATTTAATTTATTAATAAATTAAATTCTTTCTGGCCTTGGACACTTCCAGGGATGGGGCAACCACAGCTTCTCTGGGTGACCTGTTGCTTACTACCCTCACAGGGGGGAATTTCTTTCAAATATCCAATTTAAATCCCCATTTTTTCAGCTAGAGGCCATTCCCTTCCTGATCTTGTGCCAAGTCCCTCTCCTGGAAGAGGCAGTGCTTGCCCAGTGGCTCTGCTCTCCCAGCCACCCTTCTCCCCTCCCTGCATCCCACTCCTGGGCCAGGGTGAGGCAGGAAAATTCCCCCATGGAGTGCCAGGGTGGCCCCAGGAGCAGCTGAGCATCCTGGCTGTGATCCAGCACAGAATTCCTTTACCTGCAGAGCAAGGGCTGAAGCCCTCGAGGCTTGGAGTGTGTGTCAGGTGCTTTGATGGCTCAATAAGCGAGGCATTGCTTCAGCCCGGTTCATTGTTTGCTTATTGCCCTGTCACTCCACACACTTCCAAAATCTCTGCCTTGTTCTGTCTCACATCTACACTTCCTGCTAATGAAAGGCTCTGAGCAGTGTAAAAACCCATTCAGGTGTGCAAACAGTACCCTGTTTCCTCCAGGGGTTTTAATAATTTCATCTTTAATGCCAAATAGAGCAATATTTTAAGAGTTCCTCCAAAACTCCCAGGAGAGGTAGCAGGGTCTGCCTTTAAAAGGTCACAGTGGCTGGGATATTGTGCCAGATTTAAATTACAGAGATAGAAAATAGAGATACTTGTAAAGTTAGTGGCTGCTTTGTAAAATTTACAACCTTATTTCTATTATGGGAAAAGGTTTTAAAATTAATTTTGTGAATTATTATTTTGTGTCACAAAGGATTTTGGCGTTTCCTTTCCAGCAGGGAAAGGCCTTAGGCTCAAATTTTGTTCAGCAGCAAGGGGTTGCTTATGAGAAAATAAGGAATGAAGCAAAGCAAGGAGCAGGCACAGGTAGTTCTGGAAAATCTGGCTTGCATCCTGCAGGATATTCCCAGTAGGTGGGAATGAGCTGGACTGAGTGAGCACTGAGGGTGCTGAGTGTTTATACCTAGAACATTAACAAAAATGAGAATTCTTTTGTTGTGTCCTGTAAGAGTAGCTGACAGATCACTGCAGTGTTGTACCCTGCAAAAAAAAGGGGATTTTGGTCCGGAGTTAATGTCACTGTGGCTGTGATGTGATGAAAAATTAACAATGTGGCATCTGCTGAAAGACACGAGCTGGCAAATTCTCTTCTTGTGTGTGTTCCTGGAGGTCTGGCTCTGCCCAGATACTGCCTAAGACCTGGGGGAGGAAAAAATGAGTTTTAGCACAAGAAAGATATGGACTTGACCCCTTTCTGTCTTTTCTTCCTTCTCCAAAAGGATAGTCCAACAAATCCTATTTACTCCATTCCTGCCTGCAGAGCGTGCGCTCAAAAATGAGATTCCTCTGACTCTGCCTTTATCTTCTGCCCTGAATTTTTGAAACTTCCATTGCTGCTCTTTAATGTGTTATTTTCCCTTAATATCAGATATATTGTCTTTCCTGGGTAAATCCTTGACAGGGGAGTGCAGTGGTGTGGCTGAAGGGGATGATTTTTCTGCAGTGCCCCCTGTTCCCACATTTCTCCTCCTCCACAGATTTGGGACTGCAGCTCATCCCTAGCCAAACCTGGAAAAGTGGGATTTGTCACAGTGCTCATAACAAACAGAGACTTCATTTGGTCAGGGAACAACCATTCCTGACACAATTCCTCTTTCTGCCACTTCCAGCCTCGCCTTCAATTCCATCCATTTCTGGGACAAAGAAATGTCGCACAGAAATAATTCTGTCACACCAGGGAGAGCAAGATTAGGGAAAATATTTTGCCTGGTATAATTTTTTTTTTAATATATATGTTCTTAGAAAAGAATTTTCCAGTAAAATAAAGATCTTGCCTCCTGTGAACAGAATAAAATTTGTGTAATTTGACAAAACCCCACCATGGTGAAACTTGAGATACACCAGTGCTGGGAGTCTTAAGTGAAAAATATTATTTACTTCCATTTTGAATACCAGCTGATAAATGGTTCAGAAAAGAGTAATAAATGACTAATGGGAGCTTTAATAAATGATTCATCAGCTCCTGTGGAGACCTGTGAGTGGCTGGGTTGCTCGTCACCATGATTGATGGTGACTTGCAGCTCTGTCCCCTGGCTCAGTGTTACCCCTGGGGAAGGCAGCCCCTGGAGGACAATCTGCACCTCCGTCTGCTCGTGGTGCACAGAGGATGTGAGACTTCCACAGCACCATCTGGAGAGATTTATTTTGCAGCTCAGACTGTTGAGAAATGGGCTTGAAGCTGCTGAGAGTCCCTGCCTTAATTCTTGGTATTGGTTAAACTCTATTGAGGAACAAATATGGAGTTAAAGCAATTTTAAGGTTCCTCCTGGATCATTTTTTTATACTTCTTTTACATAAATGTCTCTCTTGGATGTGATACTTTTCTTTTCTGTGGTAAACAGACCTTGGCAACCCAGAGCAGATCTGCCCATTGACTTTGCATGTTTGAAGCCAGCCAATCTCACCTCTCCTCCTCCTGTGGACTGAGTCCTTCTTACCTTGTCTTGCAGGGAGAATTTTGCCCTTTGGGACTCTTAATTGATTCTGCTCCTTTCTGTGCAGGACTTCAGTGAGCTGAACCACACATTTAGACACAATCATGTTAGTGGTGGATGATTCCCTTTCCAACCTCCTCCCACAGGGTTTTTTTCTTTATTTTTCTTTACATCTGACTGGGAGAGCTCCTCCGTGAGAACCACA